TCACTGTTACAATATTTAAAAAAAATCTTATGCTCAAGTTTACATCTTAATAAAACATTTTTCATTATTATTATCAAAATATTTAACAATAGTTCAATAATTCCGGATAATCATTTTTTCACGCATGATATTTGATAGTACACTAAAAGTGCGTTTATTTATTTTTTTTGCGTTGCTGTAATAATAAATCTGCCATGTCGGCCATGTGGTGTTGAATTATATCATATTTTTGTAAGTAATCAAAAATTTAATGTGATTATAATTGAATTTGCATTGAAATAGAGCTACCTTGAACACTACATACCTGCGAGCAAATGTAATAAATCTTATTTTGAATTTATTTTATTTCACGCCTTTTATTTATCTTGATTTGCAATTTAGAGATCATGTCATTAACTACATATTTTGGTTTTTTCATTAAATAATATGTTTAAATTTGTTTAAACTTGCTGCATGATGACACACATATGGTGTCAAAACGTACATAATAAATAGTTACATTAGCTATTGCTTCTTGAAATATTTATTTAGTTGCAAATGAACATTTTAAGAATAGATTGTAATGTAATTACCTTTCGTTAAATTTGTTTCCAATTTATGTTATAGAAAATTAAATAATCATCTTTTTGAATATGTACATTGCCATCTTATTAAAGATTGGAGCAAACAGATCTTTTTCACAATATACATATATAATAAATAAATTCCGTTTTCCTTTAGAAATTTCGCATATTGAGTTCTGATGTAGGTATAGATAAATCAATAATTTTCTATCTACTCTTTGTTTTGAAAAGTGCCATCGATTGCATTTATTATGTTCGTTTTGCAACTACATGTTACAGATTGCTTAATGATTCAATATTTGCTAATTAGCAAACTATTCTATTACGAATAGGTTACAAACAGCGATGCTATTGAACTCACAGTAGTTTTTTCACAATGCAATGTGGCATGAATTATTTCGTAATGCCATGCAATTCCGTTTTCATCCATTACAATGGCTCATACAATTAATAGCGAGTTTTGCGAATGAGTTACTTATTTCACTAGGTTAAATGTGTCTATTCTCGTGTTTTCATATATAATGAAATGATATATCATTTTTATGAAAATACATGCTATCAAAAATGGTCACCGTAGGTACTTGATATGTTGTACCTTGTATATTGTTTCTTTTGTTAAAGAAAATGTTTTTAAAGCTAAAACGTTTAGAATAATAATATTGTTGAACTAATAGTCTATCAACTTTAATCTTCAGCCAATAATTGATGATTCCCTTTTTGTTGCAGATTGATCATCCAAAGGCACTCGTCGCCAATAAGGCTGAACTGTTCTCGGAAAGAAGAAGATTTTGCCGATGGCGGAGAGGATGATAACGATATCCCGGTAGAAGGACATTATCCTGCTAAAAAGCTGAGGAGATGGAAACCTGCACCGATAGTTCCTGAGGGATATGGAAAACCCGGCGAAATGGGTAAGTGATAAATCATAATAAATTCATCAATTAATTGTAATAAGTTCCGTGTTTTTTAATTCGAGTTCTTTAAGTAAGTTCAAATAATTTTGAGGGGTCAAATTAGTATATACATATCATGTTTTGCCTGGTGAACCGGCTGCTACCGATGCTCATAAATTTCTTTCGGCCATTTCATATGAGTTATAACGCTCTATGTTTCGTTCAACTTTATGCGGCTATAATCTTAACCCGTTTTAACAATGTGAAAAGTGCATGCAAGCCGGTGGTGTTGTATAAATTTACGATGTGATGCATATGTAAAGGATCACTTTTTAATCTCGTTTTCATGGACAACATTTTATTTTTTTTATCAAGAATAAAAATGCTTTTTAACATTAAATAACTGCTTTGCTGAAAACATGTAGTTACATTCTTTTTATTTTAAATGAAGCAAAAGCTCATGTACCAAATCTCATTGAGTATATTTTAGAGCATAGGTTCCCAAACTTGTTTGTGCCGTGGACCCTTGCGATGTTTCATTCAACGATTGAATTGAATAGTTTCTGTATTGAAACAGATTATCCGTTTTAAAAATGCATAATTCGATTCTGATGAAACTCGACATACATTGTTAATACACTTTACTGGAACTGGAAATAACTTAAAGTTGGAACATTCAATAGTTTTGAGATATGCGAGGTTGATGGGTGGTTGGCTCCGCTCTCAATACTAGTATTGTAACAGATTGCACGTTTTCAAAAATGCATAATTCGATTTTGATAACTTGACATACAATGTTATTACACTTTACTAAATATTTGATAGAAATTTAAAGTTGGAACATTCAATAGTTTTGAGATACGCGAGGTTGATTGGTGGCTGGTTTCGCTCTCAATACTAGTATTGAAACAGTTTATCCGTTACCCAAAAATGCATAATGGATTCTGATGAAACTTGACACACATTGTTTACTACACTTACTAAATATTTGACAGAAATTTAAAGTTGGAACATTCAATAGTTTTTGAGATATGCGAGGTTGATGAGTGGCTGGCTCCGCTCTCAATACTAGTATTGAAACAGATTGTACGTTTTCAAAATGCATAATTCGATTTTGATGAAACTTGACATACATTGTTACCACACTTTACTAAATATTTGACAAATATTTAAAGTAGGATCATTCAATAGTTTCTGAGATATGCGAGGTCGATGAGTGGCTGGCTCCGCTCTCAATACTAGTATTGAAACAGATTGTACGTTTTCAAAAATGCATAATTCGATTTTGATAAAACTTGAGATACATTGTTAATACACTTTACTCAATATTTGACAGGAATTTAAAGATGGAACATTCAATATAAATGCGAGGTTGATTGGTGGCTGGCTCCGCTCTCAATACTAGTATTGAAACAGATTGTACGTACGTTTCAAAAATGCATAATTCGATTTTGATGAAACTTGACATACATGTTAATACACTTTACTAAATATTTGACAAAAATTTAAAGTTGAAACATTCAATAGTTTCTGAGATATGCGAGGTTGATAAGAGGCTGGCTCCGCGCTCAATACTAACATTTAAGTTTAAATCATTTCTAAAATGCCGTGGATCCCTATTTTTATTTCGTGGACCCCCAAATTTTGTTTCCCCTGCCGTGGACTCCTTGAAAGTTGCCATGGACCCCTGAGGGTTCATGTGGACCACTTCGGGAATCACTGTTTAGAGCATTATTGGGTACTGTATAATTGAAGTAAATCTCTGCAAACGGTTTGGGTTTTGGTTGAGACTTGGAATAAATGCTAAAAGACCTGTATTTTTTTAGCATGACTTTTTTTTCAATTGGCCTCATTAGCCGTATATCAGTTTACCATGTTACCTTTTTCATACAGGTCGATAATGTTGCCATTATGGCCACGTGCCAAAACTTATACTTTACCTAATAAATTCCATAATTATTTCACACGGAACCGTCAAGTTGTTTTTGTCTGCACTTATAAAATCTATTTTTCATTATTATTATATCGATAAAATTATTTACGCTTTGATTGAAACAAATTAAGTACAAGATCATAAAATCGTAAATCTGTTCTACAAAAATGATTTATAGATTTATTATACGGTTATTATAATGCTGTGATTGTACTAGCTTGCAAATTTTATGGTTCTATTCTACAAATAATTGTATTCTGTAAAACGTGCAGCTATAAAAATGAAGTTATTTTATAAATGCATTGAAACTATTTGTTATACATAACCTTTAACAATTGCATTTAGCTTTCTCTATTTTATATTAATATAATAACCTTATAATTTCTGATTTTTTTCTGCATCTGGTTTATAATACAATTTATCGAATTATCTTAAACCAACAGTATTTTCATTATGCATAGGTAATATAATATACATAAATATTTTCATAACTGTAATACGCGATAAGGTCTGTGGATATGCGTCTATAATCTGAATTAATTTCGGCTAAATTTTCTGGAAGAGTGAATATCACAGTTAGTGGAACTAATGATATAAGAGATTGTACATTTAAACCACAGTTAACGTAAATAGGCTAAAATTGTGTGGTAAATAAACGTTTATGATATTTCAACTGAGGATAGGTAATTTTGAGAAAAGTTTCACAGAGTTTAAGTAAATTGATTATGGGGAAAGGGTTATTTTATTGTTTTATATGTTCTAATATTTTGTTCTTTTTTTATTCATGGAATAATATTTACAATTTCTACAAGTTTCCAATAAAGAGTTAGTCAAAGAGTCAATAAAAAGATGTACTGTTGTAACAGGTAAACAAGATTTTCATACGACTATGGGTACAGTGATTCTCATGAAAAATCAAATTCGTTTGCAGTAAATTTTCTGTGCTAAATTTCTTCAATTATTTTACCAACTTTTGTACAAATTTCTAAAAGATACATGTAAATGTATAAATTTAAATTTGAAGTTAAATTAAACTTATTTTACTTCATGCAGTTGTATTAATAGCATCGGCTTTGCTTTATATACTTCAATATCCAATTCCTTTTTTGTGATTTTTTCCACTCGATATACATCTCAATGTTCAGTAATAAACATCTCGTATAAAATTTGCCTTCGAATCGACATTAAGCGATTCGTGGGTTCATTCGCGCATGTAATTCGTGGCGGAGGACAAATCCCGCAATGACATACGAGAAAGCGTATAACAAACGATTTGCACAACGATCACAATTCATAATTTATAAGACAGCAGTTTGCTTGGAGAGCAATATGATCACAAATTGAATGCGAGACATGTGTCTAGAACTAAATCTGATCTGAATCAGCATCATCGACAATATAACGGAGTTGGAAATTTCATCATCGATACAACATATAACACGCTCATGTTCCAAAATTTCTTTTCTATGTTTTTTGTATTATCTTCAGCTTTTAAGTTTTTATAATAATTCATTTCCTTCAGAATTTCAATGACATTCATAATTACCCTTATCGCTTTTTTGTTAGCGTGTCTGTTAATAACATTCATGCAACAGATTATCGACTTGTAAAAATGTTAATGCATACTAAATGCAAGTACTCTTGTCTATCTAAATTGTTTTTGTCGATACTGAAATAACTAAATATGGATGAAATATTTCCAAATTTATTTGAAAGACTTGGAAAATATCTATAAATGTTACTAACAGAAAACTATTATAGAAAGAAAAATGGCCATTTGATATTAGTCAACATTGATCTGCGATGAGAATTTTTGCGTCTTAATTTTAATAATCAGCAAAATAATATTGAATATAGATATATTCGATTATAATATTGTTATAATTTATTTATTGATCAATTGAGTTGTTTTTTCCAACGGTCAATATTTTAATTTAATATCTTTTGTACAACTGACCATTGTAAATTATCAAATTTGCTGGGAATTTCTATATTAATTAGAAAAATCTAATTTAGACCGAATATTATGATGAAATTCGTACATATTAAGATGATGCTCTTAAATTAAAGTCTTCAAATTAAAAAAATATAAATTATCATCAAGATTCCTCAGTTATACAGATAATAATTATTAACTTTAGATTTCAGTGTTTGTTTTTATTACACTTTTTTGTAATAACTTTATTTAGCAATCGGATAAAAAAATTTGTATAAACTTAACTGATATACGAGTACATAGTGTTAAACTAAGGTAAGACCCATTGATCTATCTTTCAATATATGTTACCTTATTTGACGAATTGGTATGGTATGGCATTATCATATCAAAAGGTTATTTTTTTATGTTTTGTGAGGGTAATAGGATGTACTTTATAGTCTGGTTTGCTTCGATGTTTTGAAGTTCGTTTTTTTAATGTTTTGTGAACAGTCTTCAATTTTAAATAGTTTTAGGTAGTCTGATTAGTGACGCACCAAGGAGAGTTCAGTATTGTTCTTAATATTTTTGTCTGTGTTCTCTGAATGATTGCTAAATTAGATTCAGAGGTACATATCCCCACAGCTCTAGGTCGTAAGTATACATTGGTTTGATTCTCTTTGAGTTGAGTTTGTTCTCTATGAATTCTCTATGTGTTCTCTATGAATAATTTGGACTGTCTACATATTAACCATTTAATCTCTCTAATTTTTACAAGTTACACACACACACACATATATCAAACCACTAAAGTAGACTACTTTAGTTTTTTTTCTTTACTTGGTGTTACTGCCCGATTCTAAATAACTTATCAAAATATATATCAACACCATACTCACATATTTCAATATATATATATATAATATATATATATATGTATGTATATGTATATATGACCCGGCAAACGTTGTTTTGCTAAGTAAGGTATATTCTAAACAATTTCTACAGAATCAAAAAAAATAATACTTCAAGTGTATAAGGATGTGGTTGTTTGAATGCTATATATAATGATGCATTATTAAAACAATAAACCCTATTATTAGTTTGTCTATATTTTGTCAATTCAATTAAACTGGAAGTTTTATACACTTTATATAGAAAACATGGTAT